CCATAAATACAGAAAACAAACTGATGGTGACCGGAGAGGAGTAGGTTGATGGGCAAAGTGGATGAAGGGGAGGGGAAGACACAGGTTTCCAGTTCGGAATGAATATGTCATGGGGATAAAAATCACAGCATAGGGAATATAGTCAATGGTGTGGGGTTTTTGTTGTTGCTTTTGTTCTTGTGTTTTCTCCAAGTTTTTATTTAAATTCCAGTTAGTTAACATACAGTGCAATATTGATTACAGGAGTAGAATTTAGTGATTCGTCACTTACATACAACAACTGGTGCTCATCACCAGAGCTCTCCTTAATCCCCATCATCCCTTGAACCCAACACCCACCCACCCCCCACTCATCTCCCCTCCAGCAACCCTCCGTTTATTTTCTACAGTTTAGTCTGTTTTCTGGAGACACCTGAGTGGCTCAGTCAGGTAAGCGTCTGCCTTCAGCTCAGATCATGATCCCAGGGTTCAGGATCAAGGCCTACCTGCAGCTCCCTGGGCTCCCTGCTCCAAGGGAGCCTGCTACTCCCTCTCCTGCCCCACCTCCTGCTTGTGCTTGCTCGCTCTCTCTCTCTCTCTCTTTCTCTCTCTGAAATAAAGAAAATCTTTTAAAAAAAAAAAGAGTTCTTTTTCTAGTTTGCCTCTCTTTTTGTTCCCCCTATGTCCATCTGCTTTGTTTCTTAAATTCCACATATGAGTGAATGCAGGTATTCTAACAGTGTTGCATGGTGACAGATGGTAGCTATATTTGTGGTGAGCATGGCTTAATGTATGAACTTGTGGAATCACTAGTTGTACATCTGAAACTAATGTAATAGTGTGTGTCAGCTATACTTCAGGTTTTAAATAATACATTAAAAGTCTGGAAAGGAAAAAAAATAAAAGTCTGGAAATGCCTTAAAATAAAGTATTTGGATCCTTAAAAAGATAGTATATGAATAATTTACATATAGTACTAGAGAGAAAATCATGAAACATCTAGACAGAATTAAAACAAGTACAGATATGGGCACCTGGGTGGTTCAATCAGTCAAGTAACTGCCTTTCATTCAGGTTATGATCTCGGGGTCCTCAGATGGAGCCCCACATCAGGCTCCTTGCTCAGTGGAAAGTCTGTTTACCCCTCTGCTCCTCCCCTAGCGCCTGCCACTTTTGCTCATATTCTCTCTCTCTCTTTCGCAAATAAATAAAATATTTTTTAAAAAGAAGCACAGAGGGATCCCTGGGTGGCTCAGCAGTTGAGCACCTGCCTTCAGCCCAGGGTGTGATCCTGGAGACCCGGGGTCGAGTCCCACGTCAGGCTCCCTGCGTGGAGAATGCTTCTCCCTCTGCCTGTGTCTCTGCCTCTCTTCCTCTCTGTGTCTCTCATAAATAAAATCTTTAAAAAAAAATAAAGCGGTCATTAGGTCTTGGATGGTTAAAAAAAAAAAGCACAGATAGATATGCAAAAGAAAAATTTGAAAATTAGAAATGAAAAATATATATTTCATTGAAATATTTCAAGACTCAATAGGTGGAATAAACTCTAGACTTAAGAGAGGTGAAGACAGAATTAGCGAATTGCAAGATAATGTTAAATACTTCACCCAGAGTATAGTACAGAGAGGCAAAGAGATAAAATACCAAATATAGTACAAGGTCTAGAGTTTTTTTTTAATAAATTAATTTTTATTGGTGTTCAATTTGCCAACATACAGAATAACACCCAAAGGTCTAGAGTTTAAACAGAGAAGCTCCAACATTTGCTGATACAGGGTTCCAGGAAAAACAGAAAGGAGAAACAGGAAGAAGAGTAACTTGAACAGATACTGAAAATTTCCTAGACTTAAAAAGAGATATAAATTCTCATTAGAATATATTTAAAATATGGGGCAGCCCCAGTGGTGCAGCGGTTTAGCGCCGCCTACAGCCCGGGGTGTGATCCTGAAAGGTCTGGGTTCTAGTCCCACTTCAGGCTTCCTGCATGGAGCCTTCTTCTCCCTCTGCCTGTGACTCTGCCTCTCTCTCTCTCTCTCTCAATCTCTCTCTCTCTCTCTGAAAAATTAAAAATTTTTTAAATAAAAAAAATAAGTTTTTTAAAAAAGAATATATTTAAAATACGAAACAAAATAAAATACAAATCCGCACTTGGACACACCAAAGTGAAACTGCAGAATATTATGGGTAAAGAAGAAGGTACATACAATTATGTTCAGCATTTTCTGAATAACAAAAATTGGAAACAGTCTAAATATTCATCACTAGAATGACTACAAAATAGTGGCAATACAATGAAATACTGTAGAGTAGTTAATATGACAGCAAGTATCAGCATGAATAAACCTCGAAAACAAGTTGAATGAAAAATGCAAGGTGCCATCAGAAAGGGAGAAAAACCATGAGAGACTCAACTCTAAGAAACAAACTGAAAGTTGCTGGAGGAAAGGTGGGTGGGGGGTGGGGTAATTTGGTGGTGAGCATTAAGGAGGGCATGTGATGTGATGAGCACTGGGTGTTAGATGCAACTGATGAATCATGGCACACTACATCTGAAACTAAGAATGTACTTTATGTTGACTAACTGATTTTAAATTAAAAAAAAAAATTTAATGCAAAGTCCAGAAAAATATGCACAGTATTACGCCATTTGTTTGAAATTTAAAACCACACAAAACAATGCATATATTGTTTGTCGGTGCATACATGTGTAATGAAGACATGAAAACCTACACAGATGAAAACCAAGTAGAAATAACATACACAAGGATGCCGGGTGGCTCAGTGGTTGAGCGTCTGCCTTCAGCTCACAGTGTGATCCCAGGGTTCTGGAATCAAATCCCGCATCAAGCTCCCTGGAGGGAGCCTGCTTCTCCCTCTGCCCCTGTCTCTGCCTCTCTCTGTGTGTCTCTCATGAATAAATAAATAAAATCTTAAAAAAAAAGAAAAAGAAAGAAAGAAAGAAAGAAGAAAGAAAGAAAGAAAGAAAGAAAGAAAGAAAGAAAGAAAGAAAAAGAAAGAAAGAAAACACACAAATTCAGAATCCTCACTATGTCTGTAATAATCACCTCCTCAGTTAGAGACTATTTATTCTCCCCAACCCGGTATAGCTGAATCTAGAAGTAATCAATCTCACTCCTGACACTTTGAGATCATCACCAACCCCATCTGCTTTAAAGTCTCCTATTTCTTTGAGGTTTATGTATTCTGGCCATACACCTATCACCTCCCTTTGGTTGTTCTCCCCCATTCCTTGAGAACACTGACCTTTCACAGAATTTCCCTCCATCTCAAAATCCTCCTACTCTGTGATTCAAACATCCATATGAATGTCCTGTCCAACACCTAGCCTCTCCAACCCAAGAAGCATCTCCTTTGATCCACTTCAGTCACGCATCCTCCTGGTCCCATCCTGAGTCTTGCCACCATCACTCCGAACTGCTTCACCACCAATACCATAAACTCAGGTATGCACTTTTCTCACCAACCTCTTATTCTTTCCGGTCACTTGTTCACTCATTCCCACTACTCCTGTTTGGATTCCACTGAAACATCCAGTCCACTGATAGCCACTTCTACTGTTCTTCTATGTAATAATCTTCTCTCTCCCCTTCCTTCCTCATCCAGATAAGACTCCATGGTCCAAAATCTACACCACCTTTGCCAATATCTTTCATTATCTTTCCTTATTGTCTTTCCTTCCACTTGCCTGGGGAAAAAACCTAACCCAAATGCATATTTTCATAGGTGCCTTTAGAGTAAAGATCAACCTCCTTAAGCTCCTGAATGTCTCTGGACATAGACATGGAATTAATCTAATCAATGAAAGCATAAGCAGATGGATAGCTAGACCAATTAGCTACCCTGAGTGAATATTATAAATAAGTTATGCCTAGTATCCATTCCTGTATGTTTCCAAGTCGACATCATACAGTGCCCTTTAACAGCAAAGTCTTGCCAGTTACTTCAAGAAGACCTACAGAAGCCGCCTTCCAGCACTACCACTATTATTACTCTTGTGTGTCTTCTTAGAAGGCATTGATCTAGGGATGCCTGGGTGGCTCAGTGGTTGAGCGTCTGCCTTCGGCTCACGTTTTGATCCCCGGGTCTTGGGATAGAGTTCTGCATTGGGCTCCCCATGGGGAGCCTGCTTTTCCCTCTGCCTATGTCTCTGCCTCTTTCTCTGTGTCTCTCATGAATAAATAAATAAAATCTTTTTAAAAAATAAAAGAGAAAGTATTGGTGTAGTGATAACTCTTCTTCCATAATGTCTATCCACCAAATTAAAAATAAGACCTTGTGCTCTAATGATTATCAACTTTGTCTAACTAACCAACTATACACACACACACACACACACACACACACACTCTATTAGTTCTGTTTCTCTGGAGAACCCTAATATAGGATGTTTGATGATCATTGATCACACAGATAATAGAGAGAATATAGTTGCGGTTTTTAATATGATGACTTCTTGCAGACACAGAGATATTATGAACTTAGACTCTAGTGGTCTCCTATTCAATCAATAGTTTACTGATTGCAGATGCAAGAAGATCCTCAATTTCTCCAAACTCAGTGATGCTCATCATGGGTCTCCTACTAGACTGAGTAGGAAAATACCTTCAGCCAAGCACATATTATGAGCCAAAGTTCAGCAAAACACACAGGGACAATCCCCTCTGGAGATATTCCAACAAAAGCACAAGGGTTGAAAATGATACTTCTTTCTCTTACCAACTCCCTTCTCTCCCCATTTCCCTCCTCCACACATTTGCCCAAATCCAGGACCCACCCCCACCAAAATGAGACTTTATTCCTGGTATTATTCTTGGTTACATCCCCTTCCCTGAAGTTCATACTGGCTGGACCAGTTTGGGGGAACTATCTTTGGGCAGCCGTGTCCTTCCTGGCATAGATGCCAGCACTATTACCCAATCAGAGATATCTTTGTGCCCAGAGGGTTATAAGAGACAACAACATCCTGGACATAGCAGACTTGTGTTTCACCAGCTACAGAAATGAGGTCTATTCTGGTCATCACCATCCTCAGCTACTTCTTTGTAGCAGATGAGGCCAAAATCTTCTCCAAGTGTGAGCTGGCCCGCAAGCTGAAGAGCATGGGAATGGATGGCTTCCATGGCTACAGCCTGGCAAACTGTGAGTATGAACTTCTTTCTGTCTCTGCCCAAAAAGACCTTCTTCCCCAGCCAATTTCTCCCTTTTCACTTCCTGATTTACACATTTATCAGGGCTCTCTTCCACTCCCTGACAGCTCTTCTTGTCTCTGCCTCCACTGCCTTATATTCCTATCAGGATCTCCTTTCTCTCTTCCACCAGGGATTATCTTATCCAAGTAAAATTTCTTCTGCTGTTCCCCAAAATCACCTTCCCTCCCAGTGGTCTAGAATACTTCCTCAAAAATACCCAGAGACTCACCTAACCTCTTCGTTTTGCTCCCATGACCTTTGCTTTCACCTGCATCCTTTTGGATACTGGTCCCTGCAGCATTGTTGGCACTGATTCCCACTGTCTTCCCTGCCCTTCTGTCCATCAAAAAATAACCTACATCTGCTGTGTTTGTCCAAAGTCTGTTCTATCCAAGTCACAGGGAGTAGGATAAGGACTGTGAGAACAGAAGGTGAGGCAGAGACAAGGTCACTCATCTCATCAGTAAGAACACATGAAGCTATTCCAATTTCCCTTAAATATCTTCATTTTTCTTCATGTCAAACATACTCTTTCCTATCACTCCCCAAGGACAGCTTTTGGGGCTTCCTTCCTAGGATCCTCCTCCATTACTTCTCCATCTCTTCTCTTCCATATACTTTGGGATAAAAGGCAATGTGAGAATCTAAGGCAAGAGTCGGCTATTTGGCTGGGAGATGAGGCTGGAAAGATAGACTGGGAGATAGTGCTTGCTTGATTGATTTTTGGGCATTACAAATGCATTTATTAAACAAATTGTTATTACATTCTTCCCATGGGCTAATTATTGCTTGGGACTAGGAATATACAATGGATGATAAACATAAATCTAACACTGAGGATTTTATAGTCTTTTCATTTCAGTCTCAAGGGACTTTCTGGCCATTCTGGTATAGCATGAGGTGTGCTCATCATGAAACAATCCCCCTTTTCTACCCACACTTTTGCTCCCTCGACACAGGGGTCTGCATGGCTGAGTATGAGAGTAACTTCAACACCCAGGCCTTTAATGGGAGAAATTCCAATGGCAGTAGTGACTATGGAGTCTTCCAGCTGAACAGCAAGTGGTGGTGCAAAAGCAACTCTCACTCCTCGGCAAATGCCTGCAACATAATGTGCAGCAGTAAGGACTCGATCCCCTCCAAGGGCTGGGTGAAGTGGGGCAGGTAAAACAGGTGCAAGATTGAACACCCTACTCCCTAACACCTGCCCCTTGCCTGTGCTGGAGAAGCCCAGGACAGGGAATAAAGGGGCCCCAGAGAGTCCTCACACTAAAAGAGGATTCCACAGAATTCCTCCTGCCTAAAAGGAAGAAGGAAGATACACTGACCTCTGACTAAGCCTCACCTTCATGGGTTCCCATCCCTCAAGCCGTTTTATCCCATTCCTGGCACACGCATGGCTGCATCACCAGTCCACATACCCCCACACAGAACTCTGGACACACTAAGCAGTTTCCTGAACACAAAGGCTCTCCCTGGTCCATCAGGTCCTGGTTGCCCTCCGGAGGGAGTGATGCTCAGAGGCAGATTCAAAGCAAGGCAAAAAAACCCAGGCAAATGGAAGGCAAATCCACAAAAGGGCTCCAGAAATAGAGGGTCTCTGACCCAGGCTCAATTTCCTCTGGAACTTCCCCCATCAAAAAAGTATTGATTAATGAAACAGAAAAAGAGGATTTTTTTTTCCCTCTCCATTCAACCACTTTTCCTTTCAGAGTTCCTGGATGACAACATCGATGATGATATCGCCTGTGCCAAGAGGGTTGTGAAAGATCCTAATGGGATGTCTGCCTGGTAAGCAGAACATGAGGGACAGAGAGCAGCCACTCCGACAGGCATGGGCCCAGACCCAGACAGTATGAGGGATGCTCATAGAATCGCAGCATCTCTGCTGTAGGCCTCTCCCTGGGCTTTGTAGGGAGCTGAGACCGTTCTCCTGACAGAAGTGAGGCAGAGCAATACTGTGCCACGCTCACCCGAGGCCTCCCTGCAACACCAACTCAAGCCTTTTCACACCGGCAAACCCTCCCCATCTGAGACTCTCCCACAGCATAAACTGACTCCAGCCTGAAGACCCTACCTCAGCTGAGCCCCTCTAGACGACTTCCCCTGCCTCTGATCTATGCCCTATTTCTCTATTCTTAGGGTGGCCTGGGTTAAACACTGCAAAGGCAAAGATTTGTCCAAATACCTGGCCAGCTGTAACCTGTGAGATGGTCATTGGATACGGCTCCTGGAGAACGTGGCCCAGAAGGCAGGGTCATTCCTCAAGGTTCTGGGAAGCTCTGAATTTCCCCTGCCTCCAAAATAAAAGTTACTCAAGTTCAGCTGTCTCCAGTATGATGCTTAAGGGCTGGGTTACGACAGAGGCTTGCTACCGGATGTAGACACCTGGAGGTCCTCTTCTCTCCAAGCCCATCACTGGAGTTCCTTCTATCTCCTCGGGAAAGATAGTTAAGGACAATCCTTTCCTGGGCCCTGCTGGAGGTTGATACAGAATCCTAGATGCAAGCTCTTATGAAATTCATTTAGTAAAGATGGCTAATATTATTCTCCGTCACCAGGAAGGAGAGTTCAAGATGAAACAGGAAAAAAAATTATGAGATTTGGTTTAGACGTAGAGAAGGACCAGCAGAATATGAGGAGGATAGTCAGCTAGGGTAATGACTCAGCTGCCATAACAGAGTCCCCAAAATATAGTGTTCTCGCAAAGCAGTCCGAGATGGGTGGACAGGCTCCTCTGTCCCACGCAGACATTCAGAAACTCAGATTCTTTCCATTTTGCATCTCCACCATCCTCTAAAAGCAGGGTTACTCAGAGTGTGGTCCACAGATCAGCAGCACCAGCAACAATGGGAAGCTTGTTAGAAATGCAAATTCTTGGGCCCACTGTCAGACCTACTGAATCCTTGTTTTAAACAGTTTTAATGAGCTCTCCAGGTGATTCTTATGCTTTAAAAAACACACAGAGAAGCACTGCCCTATGGTGTTGTACTCCAAACTAGATTGGAGGCACTCCATGCTCTAAATTGCAGAAAAGGGGGTTGGGGAAACGTGTGGATGACTCAGTCGGTTAGGCATCTGCCTTCAGCTAAGGTCATGATCTTGGGTTCCTGGGATCCGGCCCCAAGTTGGCTCCCACTGCTCACTGGAGAGACTGCTTCTCCCTCTCCCTCTGTTCCCAGCTCTGCCCATGCTCGCTTGCTCTAATAAACAAATAAAATCTTTTAAAAGTGCATAAATAAATAAATTGCAGGAAGGGGAGTTGGTCTGGAGAAACACACAGACAATGTTTTAAGGTCCAGGCCTGGAAGAGGCACACGTCACTTCTATGTACACTCCAGAGACAGAATTTAATCACAAGCCATCCCCGGCAGCAAAGGAGCCTGGGAGACCTGGTACCAGCAGGGCAGCCCAGGTCCTGATAACAGTGCTAGTATTATGGGAAAATGGGCAAATGGATTTGGGTGGACAACTAGTAGTTTCTGCTACAGTAATTAATAAACCATTCAATAAAGTAAGTCATAATCACATTCCCATGGTATAAATGTTTCCATATAATAGGATTTTTGTGCCCCACTATCCCTTTAAATATTATTCTGTGGGGTAGGTTCTTCTCCTACCTCTGGTATAAAAACTCATGCAGGTACCATGACTTTTCTGGTCACGCTCAGATAATGAGAGCACACCAACTCTGTCCAAGGGAGTCTCCTCTCCTCTCTCCAGCTCTTTTCTTGGCATCTCCAACATCTTTTATAGACTGACCAGTGGAAGATCAACTAAAGATGCAAAACATATTCCCCACAGTCTCCTTTTTATTTTTTTTAAAGATTTTATTTATTTGAGAGAGAGACAGTGAATGAGCAGGGGCAGGGGCAGAGGGAGAAGCAGACTCCCCATCCAGCAGGGAGACTGACATGTTATGGGGGATTGATCCCAGGACTCCGGATTGATCCCAGGACTCCGGGATCATGACCTGAGCTCAAGGCAGCCCTGTACCTGAGCCACACAGGTACCCCCACAATCTCCTTTTTAAATATTTTTGGTCTTACATTTCACTTTGAAATGTGCTCTCTAGTGTCTTGAAGCCACAGCCAAACCTAAACCGGACAAGTTTCCCATTTAACCTCCTGATACAATAACTCTGAACAGTTGATGGAGTACTTTCAGAGACCAGATCTGATTGAGCACACTGTATGTGTTATAGAAAGACTCTGATGCTCACTCTCTGATGGCCACGACACTGCCTTGCTGTTCCTGCAGCTGGAAAGTTCTGCGTAGCTAGCTCTCTGGGCACTGTCTTTCCTGCTGCTGCTGCTGCTGCTGCTATAGTAGCTGGCTAGACTCCTCCCTTTGTCTGGTTGCCATCACCTTGGCTTAGCCCCTTCTGAAGGTTCCCAGGTAGGAAAAGAAAGCAGTGGAAGGACGGGCAGGTAAAGTGACAAGGAAATAGAGGCCAGCCTATATTCTGGCACCAATATCACACAGCTCTTTAGCAGGGCTAATTCTCTCCCCGTTTTTCTGAAGGAAGTTCTCTGCACCTCAATATTCCAGGAGGCAGCAAGGTGGGTTCTCACAACCATCCAAGAACCCTGTCCCTTCCTGTGCTAGAGTACATTATTATTCTCTATTCCCTACCCCCTCCCTCCATCATGTGATCTTCCAGAGCACTACAAGGGACAGAGTCCCCTACGCATGGATGTTGAACTCGGACATGCGGTTTGCTTTGCCAACAGAATGTTAGCAGATATGACACAAATAGAAACTAAAAATGTGATTGCATGGTTTTGTTTGGCCTCCCTGTGCTCCTGTGATTGCCAGGCAAGAGCATGCCCCAGGTACTCACTGTCCCCAACCCGCTGTCCCCAACCTGGGCCCCAGACTGAAACATGTGGAATAGACTTGAACCCAGTCCAAATCCTGGCTCCTAAAGTAGAGCTCCTTCCCCCCTACACCCCACCAGACCCAAGAGTAGGAAAAAAAAATGCTGTTATAAGCCATTGAGTTTTGGGGTGGTTTATGACACAAGAAAAAAAAACTGACTCTTACTCTTCCTCAGCCCTGTGTCTTCTCAGCGTCATCCCCTTTACTTGACCATCACAAATCCTGTCCCCAGTTGGATTACCAGCAGGACTCTTCACTGTAAGGATGCAGATTCTGTACCTTCCTTGATGGATTTGCATTACGTTTAGTTTATTTATTTTTATTTTTATTTTTACGTTTAGTTTAAATATGTTTACTGAGCCTTTGCTTTGTGGTTAATTGCCTTGAAAAGGGATTTACAAGAGGGCCTTGCCTTGCTCCTGCAGGTTTAATACTGTAAACCTAGGGAGAGAATCTAAAATCCCCAAATAATCCTACCAGTAACCAACCAGTATAAATGGGCCCTTAATCAAAATCGAATAGAGCTTCTTTCCTCTCCCGACATAAACCAATGAAGGGAATGTATACATAGTTTTTATAAATGTTGGTTAGGCATTTATTAAACAAAAGGGTTTTTTTGGGGGGGTCACTTCTTTAAACAAAGTTTTGGTGCAGGATATCTTTATTCACCCCTGAAAAAGCAATATTGTTCTTTTTAATTCTATAAAAATCAACTAAAGAACTAAACGCAATGTAGAGAAAAACAAAACCAGAGGGGCACCTGGGTGGCTCAGTTGCTTAAGCATCAGGTTGCGATTTGGGGGTCCTGGGATCAAGCCCCCAGGGCCAGTTCTGTCAGGCTCCCTGCTCAGTGGGGAGTCTGCGTGTCCCTCTCTCTCTGTCCCTCCCCCGGCTCATGCTCTCTCAAATAAATAAATACAATCTTAAAAAAAAAAAAAAGGAAAAACAAAACCAGAAGACTCATGCTACCAGGTATCAAGAACTATTACAAAACGATAGTAATTATGATAGCTTGGTATTGGGGCAAAGATAGGCAAATAGGTGAGTGGAACAGAAGAGTGACTCTCACAAACCTGACCAACTGATAAGACAAAGTAGCACTGTATTGCAGTGGAGAAAGGATTACATTTCCAATAAATGGTGCCCAATCAACCGGCTATCCATATGGCTGGTCTTGTTATCTTTTACTCATCTCAGAGTTCTCTGTAATACTAGAACAGGAACAGATACACATCTCTGATTCTAACCAGCTGTGAACTCTTCTGCTCATTTAATAAATATTTAATGGAAAGCAACAGAAGAGGTAATAGTAGACTTTTTTCATCATCCCAAAATCCAGATACAAACTGGATTTTGAAGTAGTTTGCCTCAGAATTGCAGAATCAAACAAAACATCTGTCCTAAAAACTAATTCTTCTTTTTTCTTTGTTACACCAAAGGAAGCTGCACTAGAAAGAAAGGCAAGCAATTATTTCACCCCACAGCAGAGGAGATTCCAGGGTAGAGAACAGCCAGCTGCAGAGTCAGCAGAGTTATTCTCTGGATGGGAAAAACTCATGCCACACACAATTAATGCTTTGATCTTGAACTGTATCATTTTATTCAACACCAATAAGCTTCATTTTCTCCAGAAAAAGGAGATTGGGTGTGTTGTTCACATTGTTAGAAATCCTTGTTTGAGTAATATTGACCCTACAGTCAAAGGTAGGGAAAGAAAAGTTTGTGGACATCAGGGTTACAAACCCCTATCTGACAAGTATGGACAGAAGTAGGGGAACTTGGGCAGCCCAGGTGGCTCAGCGGTTTAGCGCCGCCTTCAGCCCAGGGTGTGATCCTGGAAACCTGGAATCGAGTCCCACATCGGGCTCCCTGCATGGAGCCTGCTTCTCCCTCTGCCTGTGTCTCTGACTCTCTCTGTGTGTGTCTCTCATGAGTAAATAAATAAAACCTAAAAAAAAAAAAAAAAAAAGTAGGGGATCTTTGAGGACACTTCACCAAAGAAGATATACGGATATACAGATGGCAAATAAGCACCACACAAGAAGATAACCAACATCATTAATCACTAGCGTAACGCTAATTAAAATGACAGTAAGATGCCACTACACCCCCATTAGAATGGCTAAAATTAAAAAGACTAACCATACAAGGTGTTCACAAAGACGTGGAGAAATGAACTCTCATACACTGTTACTGAGAATGTAAAGTGGTAAGACCATTTTGACAAAGTTTTAGTTGATCCAGCCATTCTACTTATGTGTTTACTCAGGAACAAATGAAATATATGTGCATACAAAAGCATGTACATAAATGTTCATATAAGCTTTATTTGTAAAAAAAAAATTAAAAATAAATAAATAAATAAATAAAAATTAAAAAAAGCTTTATTTGTAGAAGCAAAATCTGGAAATATGCCAAATGTC